ATAAAATTCCTACATTTATCTACAAATAAACTACACATCAGTTTTAGGATGTATAAAGCAATATTGTTTTCATAATTATCTACAAAATTACTACATTTATACTACAATTAAACTACAATCTATGTTGAAAAAATGTTGACTACAAAATTTTTCTCTTCATCTACAAATTTTCAACAAAAATTCTACAAATATACTACAAATTTGTTTAAGTATGTATAAAGCAGTATTATTTGTAAGGGTATCTACATAATTACTACATTTATACTACAATCAAACTACAATCTATGTTGAAAATCTATAATTTTTCTTCAATTTATCTATAATTTCTGCAATATACGTCTTCTTCTTCTTCTTCTTCTTCTTCTTCTTCTTCTTCTTCTTCTTCGAGTTTCAATCTGAAATTCAGTCAAAACCAAGTCTAATCTTCACCAAAACCCCTCAAAATTGAGATATATACTCCAAACCATATTCCCAATTATTTTCAACAACACCCAATCCAAACAAATAATGATTTTTGAAAACCCAAATTTGAACTCAAAGCTTTCAAGCTTTTTAATGACTGTCAATGGTGGAATTGCTGCTCTCTTTTCCTTTGCTTTGTATTACTGAAATTTGGACATAATTGCGTTTGATGTAGAAGAACTGTAGAAGGTTTAGTCGTTTTTTATTTGTGAATTGTAGAAGAATAATCAATTCGTTTTTGAATTGTAGAAGAATAATCAATTCGTTTTTTGAATTATAGAAGAATTTTAATGCTACAATGATTCCTTATTTAATGAAATATCTGGAAGAATATTTACTTCCATAATTGTAGCGCGCCTAAATAGGAATATCTGGAAGAATATTTAGTTCCAGATTTGTAGCGCGCCTAATTAGGAAGGAATCAGCTCCTAATAATTGGTATTTAATGAATGGCATAATATTTGTAGAATAACTGTGAATATGGCGGGTAAATATGAAACTATGCACATTTTTGGTAATAAGGTTTCATATATGGTATAGGAAGGAAAAAGTCTCTTTTGGATTTTAATGGCCCAGCAAGACAAAGGCCCATTCTTCCCAACCCATTAACCCACTCTTCACTTAAAACGCAAGATTTAATCTTAGCCATCTATTTCCTTCTAATCCAATGGTCATTACCCCTTCCCACCTCCATATAAAATACCCAATTATAAAAACTCAACCTAATTCCAAAAAGAAAGAAACGGCAGTCTCTCCGTTGATTAAAAAAGATACTCACTATCTTATTGGAGAGAAAAAAGCAACCAAAACCCCCTAATTCTTTAACCGTGACTGCCGACTTCACCTGAAAGGAAAAAAAACAAAAACGATTTAGTCTAGCTCGGGTGATAGTAAGCTTGTCTCGAGATCAGGAAAATGTGTGATTTGAGAACTTCAATTGTTTGACTCCAATTTAGATTTTATTTCCTTCACATTTTGGGCCAGTGAAATTTGGAGGGAATGAAGTTGGTGATGCCTCAAGTTCGTCGGTGTGCAACACAAATGATAGGAGGTCTTTATTTAGTCGCACGCCGAGGTTGATTCCGGTGCCGATTCGAGATTCCGATTCGCGATTTCGGCATTTCATATTATTGTAGAGACTAGACTACTGTGTATTAGTAGCTAGTTGAAGGACTAAATTGTAAATAGAAAAATAAGAGTTAGTTAGTCGGTTAGTGGTCTATAAATAAGACCACTCTCACGTGTAAACACACACAAGTAATATACCCAGCTTTTTCTTCTTCACAACAGCTTTTGCAACTTCCATTACTTCTTCACTTCTTCTTCTATTCTGTGAGCAAGCATGTGTAATATTTCTGATGAATTGTGTAGAATTCATCATGGTATTAGAGCAGCTATCGTGAATTCACCAGAATTAGGAAGAAATTCATAGAATTTAAGCTCGACGAAACTCGGATCTGATCGGCCATGGCAGGAAATGAAGTTGCCTAACTAGATCACAATCATCCGCTTTCTTTGCAACCCTCAGATGCTCCTGGATTGGTCCTAATACCGCTTAAGCTCACAGGTACCGAAAATTACGCACTGTGGAGCAGGGCGATGAAATTGGCACTCCGGGGAAAGAGCAAACTAGGGTTCGTGGACGGAACTTATGTGAAGAGTGCATATAAAGGTGAATTGGCAGAGCAATAGGAAAAATGCAATGCAATTGTCTTGTCTCGGATTGGAAGCACTATATCGAGTGAGTTAATGCCAAGCATTTTTTATGCTTCAAATGCGAGAAAAGTCTGGAGTGATTTCCAGGAGAGGTTTGATAGATCAGATCTGACTAGAATCTATCATCTTTGGACAACCATTGCAACGTTAAGACAAGGTACTGACTCTGTAACTACCTATTTCTCTAAAATGAAGGATTTCTGAGATGAACTTGATATGTTGGTTCCTCTGTCCTCATGTAATTGTGAGGAGACTAGACCTTCAGTTGAACATTTAAGGTCACAACGTTTGCTGCAGTTTCTTATGGGCTTGAATGAAAGTTATAGTAACATAAGGAGTAATGTACTAGCAAAAAGACATGTAGTGACTGTAAATGAAGCATATGCAATAGTTACTCAGGAAGAGAGTCAAAGGTCTTTGGGAGTAGTCGATACACATAGGGAACCACTCACTATGTTGGCAGGAAGGGGCCAGGATTTTAAAGGTAAAAGGCCAGGGATTATCTGTGAGCATTGCGGATACAAAGGTCACCTTAAGAAAAACTGTTTCAAAATAATTGGCTATCCAGCTGATTTCAAAAGCAAGTGAAAAAATCAATCTGGAGGAGGAAAGATTTACACCAACAATGTAAATGTAAACAATGAGGAAGGGAAGGCACCAGCTATTCAACTACAGGGGAATGGACAATTTTCACAGAAGATCAGTACAAGCGGCTAGTCAAGCTTTTGTCAAAACCAGCAACATCAGAGTGTTCCACAAACAAGACATGTATAATTTCCTTGCTAGCAAATGCAGGTATATGTGATTGGGTGATAGACACAAGAGCAACTCATCATGTCACATACTCTAAGGATATTCTGAGCAGTGTGGGAAAATTGAAGATCACAGAAGGAATGAAGTGCAATTGCCAACAGTAAATAAGGCACAAATCACACATACTGGAGAGGCATCAGTACTAGGGAATAAGACAGTTAAAACATCTTATATATACCAGATTTTAAATTCAATCTATTGTTAGTGTCAAAACTCACCAGAGACCTCAGTTGCTTAGTCACATTCTTTCCTGATTTCTATATGTTTCTGGATCTTTACAGTGGCAGGGTGATGGGGATTGGTAGAGAGCACAATGGGCTATATCTCCTACAGGAAAACATAAAAGTAGCTACAGCAGGTTTCTTCATGAACAAAGGAGCAGAAAGTGAACTTTGGCACTTAAGGTTAGGACATGCATCTTTGAAGTCAATGCAGCATATTCCAGAGTTAAAGAATAAGGTGGACATGCAGGTGCAGGAGAATTATCATGTTTGTCCATTAGCTAGACAATGTAGGTTAAAATTTCCTTCAAGCAGTAGAAACTCTACTAGTTCCTTCCAGCTTGTACACCTAGATGTTTGGGGGCAACATAGAGTGTCCACATATGATAGAAAGAATTATTTTGTTACCATTGTGTATGAATACAGTAGATATACATGGGCATGTTTGATTCAATCAAGGTGTGAAGTGCTAATTGTAATAAAAAAACTTTCTTGCTATGATACAAAATCAATTTGGTGTGACTGTGAAAGTGTTGAGGTCAGCTAATGGGAGTGAATTCTTAAATTCTCAGTGCAATGATCTGTTGACATCTCTGGGAATTATCCATCAGAGTAGCTGTCCATATACACCTCAACAAAATGGCACAGTAGAAAGGAAACATAGGCATATGCTAGAAATTGCAAGGGCACTGATGTTCTAAAGTTCTGTGCCAATGAGGTTCTGGGGTGACTGTATTAGAACAACGGCATATTTGATTAACAAATTGCCCACAGCAGAGCTGCAAGGGAAGTGCCCATATGAAGTGTTGCATAACAAGCCAGCAAAAATAGAGCACCTGAGGGTGTTTGGTTGTTTGTGTTTTGCAAGTAACTTACCTGGTGGTGACAAGTTTACTCAAAGAGCAAGAAAGTCAGTCCTTATAGGATACTCAGAAACAAAAAAGGGGTACAGGTTATATGATCTGGATAGCAGAAGAGTGTTTATCAGTAGAGATGTATCATTCAGGGAACAAGTATTTCCTTTCAATGAAGGACATCAGATCACAGAAGACTTATTCCCATGGGCTGAATCTTCTGTGACATGACATTTCACCTGAACAATTGGAGCAGGATTCTTCTAGTGAGGAGCAAGCCACCACAACTCATGATCAAGTTGAACTTGTCTATGATCATATTCCACCTGCACCAATCATGGATTCACCAGCTGCAACAGACATTCAAACTACAGAACCAATTGAGACCACAATAGATTCATTTGGTACTTCTGCTATGGATCAACCTATAGAACAAGTTGAAGAGCAACCAATCACAGATCCAGCCTCAAGCCAGTCAAATGAGGAGCAAGTACACACTGATGAAGCTGTCAGGAAATCTAGCAGGACTACAAGACCTCCCATATGGATGAAAGACTATGTTTCACCCTCCAACACTCAGTCTCATCCTCATTGCATCTCAAACACTGTGTCCTACTCTCATTTGACAGCCAATTACAAAGCGTATTTGGGTATGTTCTCTGCAACAGCCGAACCAAAAAATTTTAAGGAAGCCCGTCAAGATGAAAACTGGGTAGAGGCAATGTCACAAGAGATTAAAGCTCTTGAGGACAATGCAACATAGGAAATTATTGACCTACCTGCAGGAAAAAGGGCAATAGGGTCTAAATGGTTGTTCAAGATAAAGTATAAGGCAAATGGAGAAATATAGAGATACAAAGCTCGGTTGGTAGCAAAAGGTTATACACAGCAAGAAGGGTTGGACTATCATGAGACTTTCTTTCTTGTAGCCAAAATGGTTACTGTGAGAACATTCATAAGCATAACAACTTCTAGAGGGTGGAATATGTTTCAAATGGATGTAAATACTGCCTTTTTGCAAGGAGACCTTTATGAAGATGTCTATATGGAGCTACCACAGGGTTTCTAGAGACAAGGGGAGTATAAGGTTTGTAAACTACTCAAATCACTATATGGTCTTAAGCAGGCTTCAAGACAATGGAACATTAAGTTGACTGAGGCCTTAGTGGAAGCAAGGGTACCATCAGAGTGCCCATGATCATTCACTCTTCACTAAGAACACAAAATCTGACATTGTTGTTATCTTGGTGTATGTGGATGACTTACTTATCACTGGAAGTAATGCTGAACTGATAAATGAGGCCAAGCAGACACTGCACAATTCCTTCAAATTCAAAGACCTAGGGGAGCTAAGATATTTCCTTGGTGTTGAAGTACTGCGCTCAAAGAAAGGGATTCTGCTCACACAAAGGAAATATGCACTTAAGTTGATATAAGAAGTTGGACTTGCAGGAGCCAAATCAATTTCCACTCCAATAGAGCTGAACCAAATGCTGACCACTATTGAATATGACAAGCATGTAGGGGTAAATGGAGATGAAGGGTTAGAAGACATAGGAAGCTATCAGAAGCTCATTGGTAAGTTACTCTATTTGACCATCACCAGGCCAGATCTCAGCTTCACAGTCCAGGTACTCAGTTAGTTCATGCAACATCCCAAAATTCTCATTGGGATGCAGCATTGAGGGCGGTAAGATACATAAAAGGAGCACCAGGCCTTGGTATTCTTCTTGGAACAGGTCCTGTAGATACATTATCTGCCTATTGTGATTCAGACTGGGCCTCCTGTCCCAATACTAGGAGATCAGTCACAGGATATCATCAAACTGGGAGATTTTTTGCTTTCATGCAACATCCCAAACAGTCTCATTGGGATGAAGCATTGAGGGTGGTAAGATACATAAAAGGAGCACCAGTACTTGGTATTCTGCTTGGAACATGTTCTGTAGATACATCATCTGCCTATTATGATTCAACTGGGCCTCCTGTCCCAATACTAGGAGATCAGTCACAGGATATATCATCAAACTAGGAGATTCCTTGCTTTCATGGAAGTCAAAGAAGCAACAAACTGTTAGTCGAAGTTCAGTTGAAGCAAAGTACAGGAGTCTAGCAGCAACATCTGCAGAAATCACATGGTTCCTAGGTCTGCTTAAGGAATTGCAGGTAGAGATTCGGCAACCAGTGTCATTGCACTGTGATAGTAAAGCAGCCCTGCAGATAGTTGCTAATCATATATTCTATGAACGCACTAAACATATCGAGATCGATTGTCATTTTGTTCGAGAGAAGATCAAAAGTGGCAGTTGACACCACAATACATCCCTACCAGTTTGCAGCTAGTTGATCTCATGACCAAAGGCTTGGGTACATCACAGCATCATTTTCTTTTGTCCAAGCTTGGTGTGCTCAATGTGTTTCACCCCCCAGCTTGAAGGGGAGTATTGTTGTAGAGATTAGACTACTGTGTATTAGTAGCTAGTTGAAGGACTAAATTGTAAATAGGAAAAGAAGTGTTAGTTAGTCGGTTAGTGGTCTATAAATAAGACCACTCTCACGTGTAAACACACACACGTAATATACCCAGCTTCTTCTTCTTCACAACAACTTCTGCAACTTCCATTACTTCTTCACTTCTTCTTCGATTCTGTGAGCATGCATGTGTATTGTTTCTGATGAATTGTGTAGAATTCATCATTTCAGTCCAACAATTGTTGCTTTGTTATTCCGATTGAGTTATAAACTTTCAGCTTTATTCATCAATATAAAGGTCCATTCGAATCCATTTTTCTCAATATTTATTTACATTTTAAGTATACACTTGCTTTGATATATTAGTTTTTCTATTTGCTCATGACGGATTCCATTTGCTCTATGGTAAATACATGATCTCTTTCGTATTAATTGAGTACTGATTGCGTATTATTTGGGTTATATATATTGATTTTAAAGATTAATTCATTTGAATACATGTAAGTTTGGTTGGACGATTTCTGTTAAATACGCTATGGACTTTGATTTAATTTTCTTACTTATATGGTTATGTTACGTTGTCTTTGTTTTATCATGTTGAAGTGGTGATTCAACTGAGTTATTAAATTAGATAGATGGAAAGTTGGAGTTGTTTCTTTCTTGGCAAGGAATGAGAATGGGCCATAAGACGGGTCTTGAACCATAAGGAATTTAGGCCAAGTAATAGATCATGTTAGCTAGCCTATTTACTCCCCAATAATATCTTGTCCATAAATTTGGCATCACAACAATCTCAAAGATTAGGAAAATAATTCAAATGCGTTAGTTGCTTTAGGCGCGATTAATAATAAACATCGTGACCATGGGTACGGTTCCCGTGGCATGATCATGATACGTAAATCCCAATTCGAGTGTGCGGTTCACGTGACTCGACCACAACTTTGAATAATAATAAAAACAAATATGTTGTAAATCGCGGGTGCGTTTCACGTGGCGCGATTCGTAATATGTATAAAAATAAACGAGTGCGCGACATCGTGACTTGTTCAAATAAATTTCATAAATCCTAAAAGCATTAAAATACTAAAAGCGGTTAAGAAGTAAAAATGCACAATAGGTTCTAAATATGTAATTAATCAGATAATTAGGCCAATTATTAATAGTTGAGCGACCGTGCTAAAACTGTAAGGCCCCGTAAAAATTTGTGCTCAAAACCTAGTTGCTCGTAGGGTCAGGTTCCTAATATGTGTTGGGAATGTGTAAAACTCTTCGCGGCGCCCATTGTACTGATCTAAGTATTTAAAAATCAAAGAACCAAGTTTTTCCAGAAGAGTGCTATTTTGCGGTCCAGAATGCGGTCGCAAATCAAGTATGCAGACCGCATTTCTGCCGCATAATGAGTCAGTGGTTTGGTTAAAATTAAGGTCAAAATGCGGTCCATTATGCGACCACATAACTGATATGCGGACCGCATTTCTATCGCAAAGTGAGTCAATGTGTCAGTCAAATTTGAGGTCAAAAATGTGGTGCATTATGCGACCGCAAATTAGGTATGCGGACCGCATTTCCGCCGCAGACCCAAACAGTAGGATTGGATTTTTGGAGCACTTTTGCGGTCCATTCTGCGGACCGCATTTCATCTCTGCAGTCGCAAAGTGCGACCGCATATCTGACTCGGGTACCTATTTTTCTAAATTTTAAACCCGACCCCCTTTTTAATAAAATACCCCAACCCCTCATTTTAACGAGTTTTCTGAATAAAATAGGAGAGATGAAGAGAGGGTTCTTGAGAGAGAAAGTCATCTTCATCAAATTTGATTCTTCAAAACTATCCGGTCCGGGGAATTTCAAAGTGATTATCTTCATCCCCATTCTTGCAGGTAAAATTCCTAACCCTTTTTCATTGATTTTCAGGTTTAAACTAGGGGGGGGGGGGAGGGGGAGTCTCATGCATTGATTCTTGAAAATAATGGTTGAAAACATACATGCATGCCTTTTAAAACCTAAAATCTAGTAAGAGGAATTGGGTAGGAGTAAAGGATTGTACAAGAGGGGTTGATAACCTAAATAAGTTTGAGTAGCAATTGTGAACTTCAATTCTAAGTCATATGTGTTAACTTGTGCACTAGATTGACGTTGCTAGACTATTTGGTGAATTGAAAATAGAAGTTAAAAAGGGAATTCGGCTCCAGGTATGTATGGCTAACTTTGACCTTTGTAAAATCACCTTGTTTGGTGTACGAATATTTGGTATGTGATATCTACGTGGATTATGTGTGGACTTCTTGTGACTGGTATGATTTGAGTGTTCGTGGTTGAGTCTCCCAATATGATGGTGTAAGTGTTTAACCAAAAAATAGATTTTTAGTCAAAGCTAGAAATTAGAAGAATCGGGTTACTGATAATCGAAAAAATAAATAAAGATAGAAATTTTAGAATAGCCAAGTATGAAAGCTGGTAAATCAAAGTATATTCCAATAGTCACCTCCCCCTACAATTGTTTGTTTCTTCCCTTTTTATAGCTCTTTTGGGATACGAGCCTTACCTTTGTCATAATAATGCTATTATGGTCAATTAATGACTTTAAATGTTACGTTATACAATCATATACATTAAATACATATTTTCTAACATTTCCAATAATTAATACTCATTAAATGCTTTATCTGGGCTCCTTTTTGCTGCTGGATTCATTCCGTTGATTCTTCACTATCTTTGAGTTTTAAATATCTTGAATAGGTACGAGCGTTGAATTACTTGTATGACTGCTCGCACCCCCTCCATTTAATTTACTCGTATCTATTGTTGCTCGTATCTGTTAACCAACCTTATTTCTTTGACTGTTTGACCAGTCTATATGTCATGACACGTCGCCATATACATAAATATAATTTTCCCCAATACAATGATGACTGCCACTTTTATATTTCCTTTTTATAATCCAACTATCAGATAATAGTAATTATCTTTAGGATTTAAACGAAATCAGTTTTGGATTTGATGCTATGGAGAATTTGAGAGCTAATTGGAGAAAATATTTATAAACATATGAAAAAATAATCCATTCTATTTCAGCTAAAATTACAATCAGATCATATTGTAAATTCTTCATTTTACACTCGCGCGGAGCGCGTGCAAGTTAGCTAGTTAGTACTTAATAAAAAGGAATTAGTCCAAGCCCAATTCAAGTTAGACACTATCAGGCATCAATTAGGTTACAGTTCACTTGTCAATCTCACTTCTCAGTTCTTCTCCCCCTTGTTTCTAACACCCTCCTCGACGAGACAACGACTGCAATTGCGAGTCTGCGACTGCTTCGAGTCTTCGAGACTTGGACGACGCCTCTCCATCCTCTCCTAACTCCTCTCCTTGGCAAGAATTCAAGCTTTCAACACTCAACAGGTTCTCGTTCCTCAATCTTCATCATTCCTCTTACTGTAATGATAGGTCTTAAAAGAAATTAATTTAGGAAGAAGAAACTTAATTTAACTCTTAGTTAGGAAGAGTAATTAATTTTCCAATTGTTCGTTTATTTTAACAAAATTGTTGCTAAGAGGCTGTAGTTTTACCGGCAATTTTGGGTGCTATGTTATTTAATTTTTAGGGTCTGAACTCTGAAGTAGAATGAGATTTCCTTTTTGATTAAAGTCAATGAATAAGGATCCATACTGTTGACCTTGAGATTTTCTCCTTCTTTATTCTCCCGTATTGCCTAAGAACATACCAAAGCACTCATAACATGGAATATGTACTTGAAAGATTATAATCTGCTTTAGCAGATATGTTGGCATTCAGGTGAATCGAGCGATTAAGCTTGAATTCATTTCTTAAATAATTTCTTGCATCAAACAGAAGTTATTAAATGTCAATCAACTAACTTTGTTTGATTTCATGATCAATTCAATACTTTTTTGTCTACAAAGACTTGGTACGACACTGAAACCGTACCGAACCAAACAAGAAAATGCCGAACTGTACCAAACTATTTTGGTACGGTATTTGGTATACATAATTGATGTTGTAACATGAATTACATGATAACCAAATATGGAAGAAACCTCAACTGATGATAACCAATTACTTCATTATCATTTCTGGTTATCGGTCAGTTGTAGACGTATTTAACGAGAAAGACAGTGAAAGTCATTGAACTACTTATTAGGCAGTAGGACTGTAGGAGTACTTATTTAACGAAAATGACATTAGACCAGCCTTTGCGCTTAAAACGTTTGGAATTTCGGTGAATGTGCAACAGCAAAAATTTTTTAAATCCTGATTGTTTCTTTATTGGCTGTGACATTAGTGCTGCTCTTATTAATATATGTGCAGATAGAGGACATGAAGTTTTGGTTGTAGACGCTGTGAACCCCGATATATTATAAGAATAAAAAAAATATTTAAGGCCTCACTTTTTCTTTTCGCCTTAGGCCCCATAATATATAGAGCCGCCCCTGACTATGCTATTTGGAAATTGAGGTACAAATTCTAGCAACGACAAAAAAATGATGATTTCTTCCCATATGCCTAATTCGTGATGGATAGAATTATCTATATTTTTGCTAGTTAAAGGTAACATGTATTTAGTGGAATAGAGTCGAGGTGAGCTGATACGGCACAATCACTATTAAAGAGAAAAAATGTATGCAAAGAAAGATGATTTAAGAGATTGATAGATGGTGATTAAATTAATAGGAAAGACTTGAGCATAAGGTCTCAGGTCTGGTGAACTAGTCGCTTTGGACTTCAAAGTTTCCAGTGAGAATAAAGAACCGTATTCACATTGAACAGTAATTTTTTTTGTAGAAGATTGATGTGCGGGAGCCGGGAAATGATGTTAAATTTCATGGAATTGCATGTTTGCAGGATGTATTGTAATACCTGAGAAATAAATTTATTCTAACCACCGGTGACGCTTGGTTGGTAGTTCTGGGAATAGCCTAGCATTGTTAATATATTGTTTGATTCTTGTTTGTTTTTGGCATAATTAATATTCTTTATAAATTGTGAGAACATTTATGTACTCCGTCCATCTATTTTTACTTGTCCATTATACAAAAAATATATTTGTACTTTCACTTGTTACCATATTTTTTTTTCTTCTGTTTTACTCTTATCATTAATTACTCATTTCACAAATTATTTTCCAGGACTTCTCAAAATACTATCATTATTATGGATACTAATTACTATGGTGAAATATGCACTTCATCTATTATTTCTTAAGGAATATGCAAAATCAATTATGGATAAATAAAAGTGAACGGAGGGAATAATATTTATTCGTGCAGAAAATAATAATGTGGAATAAAAATAGGAATATTAGTAGTATATGAATTAAATAACTAAATTGACAAAAATATCTCTAACATAGTAATCAATCTTTTTCCGGGGG